GCAGGACCCAGCACTGGCCTTGTTGAACCTCACACCATTGGCCTCAGCCATGATCCAGCCTGCCCTGATCCCTCTGCAGAGCCTTCCTGCCCTCCAGCAGATCAATAACCCACACAGCTTGGTGTGATCTGCAAACTCACCTGATCAATGCTGTATAGTAAAGGGACTAGTCACAGAATAACTCTGTTCTATCTACACGAAGTATCCTCTCATTTATAAATTACTGTAAGACATTTCATAATTTTAATCCTATGAAAAACAGATTGTTGCTCTCACAATTCATTTTCCCACCAAGTGTCATCACCTATTGAACATCTTCAGGCCTCGTTTAATGTCTTTGACATTACTGTTCAGTATTTCCACAATTAAACATCACTGCATCTTCCCATTGGTTTATCTTTTGCAAGACACAACAGACTTTATGGCATGATGCTGTGAAATTCTCAATCAAATTTACACAAAGTAAGCTATTTCTGTTTCATCTGCAGTTACAACAAATGTGGAGTCCAAAAGACTAGTTATTTATACTTACCACCAAGTCACGGTCTTGAAGCAAATTACGAATTGCTTCATATAAAACAGGTCTCAAGTCTGATTTGAATTTTACAGAAATCCACTGTCCAATCAGCCATATTACTCGTCGTCGTATTGGTTTATAGCTGTAAAAGTTGGAGGAAAAAAATTGCACTCGTTAACTCACAGCACTCACTAGTGTTATAGAATACTTTGATGAAAAATAAATCAAAGAATCATGATGAAGATATTATTGCCCAAAACAATTAAAAGATTTAGTTTGCCAAGATCAACTTCAGTGCAAAAAAACTTTTCCATGAAAATTTTTCACACGAAGGCTCAGGAAAAGCCAGCTTAGTCTGAAAAAGATAATTTTCATCCTAAATGACTGAATCTTAAATGTCTCCCTAGAGATACAGTTCATTCTGCACTCAACACACCAATTAAAAAGAAAAATAAACGTTACATTTATTACTGCAATCACATATCTACTCTTTTCACTATAGTTCCCAGCAATTCCCTTGACATTCTGCTTATGCTCAAAAATTTTAAGTTAGATACAATTTAAAAATGCTAACTTAAGGACTGCACTATAACAACTGTCAGAGTAGTTCACTTCATCAGTCTAAAACTATTCTAAGAACAGACACTACCTAATCTTGCACTAGTGCCACAACAAGGGCACAAATCAAACAGCTTTAGAGTTGATGGGAAGAACAAACCAAAACAATGATTGAGAAAAGCATTTCACAGAGCAGCTATTTTTCTCCACTGATCAAATAACTCAGGTTTATGTTCAACTTACAGATGTATAAAGTTAAGAAAGATGAACCATATTGAGAGAATTTTAGCTAATATATTGTTATCATAAATGTATTTTTCACTTTTTCATTTGATGAATTACTGCCTTGTAAGCCACCAAGAAGCCATTTAAACTGACATTATTGAGGTTTCTCTACATTTAATAAGTGTGTTTTATTAAACATTGCCATAATGATAAGACTATAAACAACATCTTCAGAGAACATCAAAGTTGTGGATATGGTATATATAAAGCAATTCATTAGACTAAACAGATATCTAATAAGGAATAGCAGTCCAGTGTTGATTGATGTTTAGTGAGTAGCAGTGAAGCTCGAGTAACGCCTGCTGAAGCATGACTTACACAAAACATTGCCTTATTAATGCACCTTTCCATTTGTTCAAGAAGCTGTGATGATACAGTTTTCCTAATCTGAAAAGGCCTGTATCTGACACTTAATCTTGTAAATATCAGAGTATTTGAAAAACAAAGTTATTTTCTTGATATTGGAGTTGGATAGTTTTCAAACCACTATAACATAAAAAAAAAGTTTTAAATGACATGGTGTAAGTATAGAACTGTCTGCTGACAGCAAAGATTTTCAGGTTTAGTGGTATCTATTGTTCAGTACACACATCCCACCTCTGCATCTCTATATTATTTTTCTCTCTCTCCATGGTAGAGAAAATACAGCATGCTTTTGAGATTTTTTGGGGTAAGTGCTTGTTTGGGTTTTGTCTTTGTTGTGTTTTTTTGTTTCGGGGTTTTTTTTGGTGATTTTTTGTGGGTTTGTTTTTTAATTCTGAAGTTTCTCATAGGTGCTCATTTTTGAGGTGCTACTTTTTCTACATTCACTACTTTTGGGAATAATTCACCTCAGAAGATTAGCTTTTACAAAAAGAGCACACAGTGACTGAGCATAGGTCCACCACCAAGCCTGGTGGACCTAAAGCTCACACAGGAAAAGTGACCATATTCCAAAATAAGGCAACTTCTGCTGATTAGTCATAGGACAGTACCTTTAAGCAGTCCGGACTGCATTAGATATTCAAGTCAAAAGTACTCTACTGTCTCTCTCAGTAGGAAATGTTGTTTTACAAATGAGTTATTGCAAAAAAAAAAAAAAAACAAAAAACAAAAAACAACAAAACTACCCAGTAAGCTACTTTTATATTATGAAGAAGTTTCTCATTAATCAGTGCAAAACTAAGCATCATGTCAAGTAATAAATTTGGCAATGCACTATCTCTAAAAATCTTTTAGAACTTTTTTTATTAATTCCATATTTCTTCTATTGCTATGGTCATAATTGATAGGTTTACTATCAACAGGTAACAAAACATTCAGAGAAAACAAAACACTGGAAATTCCACACTCACTGCTGATAACACATAGGTTTTTGTTTCCAAACGTCAACCAGTTCTGAACAAGTATACTAGTCACCATGAGACATTCTGTGGGACAGCAGAGGATACTCTCCAACCCACTTAATCTGAACTGCATGTGTATTCCCAAAGCTGCTGTTAAAGGAGTACTCTGTTGAAGACACTAACCCTGCCTTCCCTTATTGCCATGGTGATCTCCAATGATGAAGGCAGTAGAAGCAGCTTAAGTTAACAGGGCTTCAAAATTTCAGACAACTTCTACTGCAAGCCTCTCTTCCCACAAGAATTTTATCCTAGGATATGACGAATGCCAACCAAATGGCTAGATCAGGTGTCTTCCAGTAACCCAACTGTACCAACAACACAAAACTTGTCAGTTTTACTTACACCATTTGGATGAATAGCATAAAAATGCCCTAGCTGGCATGGGCTGCAAAGATCATGGCAGCTTTATTTAAACACTGCTGGCTGGTGGAGCACAACAGCAAATGAACCTTATACAAGCTCTCCCATTTTTTTCCTGCTCTTCTAACATTTAGCCTAATCATTAGAGTACTTGGCCACTTGTAAATACTAAGTGAAGTCTTAGTTAAAAAAAACGGTCTAAAGAGAAGAATAAAAACATTAGGAGACAGCAGGTAAACAACTGTGACAATCATTATTTGACACTAACATAATGTTATACATTCAAGAGTAAGTAATTATTTTTTTCAAAGTTTATTGTAGTGGAAAGAAGCATTTTAATATTTTAAGTTCTACTCTGCAGGAAACTGAAATCTCCTTGTAAACAGAGCATTTGGAGATAAAAGAGCTGACTAGTGACCCATTATGAAAAATCATTTACAATTTATAGTAGCTCCTAAGGGTATAAGAAAACAAATTAGTTCATGTTTCACATAAAAATTGCCAGTGGTAAGATGAATTGCAAATCTAGAAGAAAAACATAGTAACAGTCTTCAAAGGACATTCAGGTCACTGCTAATGACTGTGTCGAGAAAAATAGGACATACTTATTTAGAGTCAATAGCTGGTTTGAACTTGTCTGATAAGGATTAGCGGGCACAATGGTCACTGTCCTTCCCCTGGGGAAAGAGTGAGCTTGAGCGAAAGAGAGGAACAGTGTCTTCCAGAGAGCTACGAGGCGTGACAGCTCTGTCTGTATTGAGATGCCAAAAACGATCTTTCAAAATACCCCATGATATCCACTAAAAAATAGGAGGTACTCGTGTGAAGGCCATCCAAGTGAGGTGACCTTGGTGAGAAGGAAACAGCATCGCAGACGGACTGTATAAAACTCTTCATCATTCACACTTTACAACACAACCCCAACCCTTATTTCCCCTCTACTGCAGCAAAATTAACCAAACAGAATTACAGAGGGCTTGTATTTAAACTTAAAGAGAAGAACAAATCACTGTCTTGGCTAAACTACAGTTTTACAGAGACAATTTCCACAGATTTCAGTTGGACTCTGCTGCCTAGAGGACTCCAGGGTCTCTGGAGGCCTAAATATTTTTTTTTAAACAAGCAAAAGTGGTTCGCTTGAGAAGGTTCAGTCAACTCTGATGTATGCAAGAAGACAGACAATGTACTTTTGCAGAACTCTGGAAGTATTCACTACACAGTAATTTAAGCATGAACTGTCAAGAACACTGTCACTTCTGTGACTCCTATGAGTTATCTGTATGCATTTCATACCTCTCCTCATTTACTGCATATGTTTGAAGGTGGAGTATTTTTCAACTCAGCCATTATTAGGCATTATATCCTATCAGATTTGTATCAACAGTTTGTATTTAAATGATGGAGGCATAAGAAACCAAAGTGTTTACCTGTCATGAGAAACTTGTAGTTCTGCTAACAGTTGATTTTTAAACCATTGATCAAAATCCACACTATCAAATAGTTCATAAGCAGCCAGTCCAACCGCATTATACACTGGGGAAAAACAACAGTTATGCTTATTGTTTGCTTAAATGCTAATGTTTTAATACTAAATAATCTGATTAATTTAATATTCAGACCACATTTTGGTAACTTGAACATAATAAAGAAAACAAAACTAAACCATATCTTTCTTTATAAAGTTTTATCAGATCATGGTGAAAGGAACTCCTGTGGAAATTATTATTAAAAGAAAGACACTACAGAAGAAAGGTTATATTCTTGAAAATAGCTGGAAGCCAAAAGAACAATGAGGATCTTATTCTATCATCAAAGAAAGTTCCATAAGAAACAATTTTTTTCTTTTGCCATAAAATCTCCTTCCTTATACAATGGACAGAGTAACTCCATGAAAATACTGAAGGTCATTTACTTGGCACAGCAGAAAGAACAGGACAGTAAAGGAGATTGCTTATTTCAGAAAAAAAGCCAAAAAGCAGTGCATTTCTACGTAAACATTTTCAAAAAAGAAAGCTAACATCAATGAAAGGAGAATTAGGATTTATGTCCCACTTTCCAAATGACTTTTAAAAATCTTGCAAATTCTTCATGCAATTTTTGAGAAGTAAAACATACAGAAATGCTCTGATACTTCAAAGATAAAGTAAAACTTAATTTACCAGCATCTTTAATCAGTATAGCATTGGTATTTTCCATGTTGGTGGATCCTACAAGCCAAAGTTAAATAAAAAATTGTCACTAAAACCAGGAATGGAAGCAACTTTGCACTTAAATTCTTTAAGAAAGGAAGACATGAATTAAGACTTCTTTCACTGCTTTTACTCAATTCACAAATTCAGTCATTTCAGTTTTGACACTTTGTTCAGTGAATGTAATCAAAATCAAATCTCTGCTTTCACATCCTATTTCTGACATACTTCTTTGGAGATGAACATTTTTTATAACAACATACATGTAAGTCAGAAGTAAGTATTTTAAATGAACAGACTCAAAACCTTCAAATTGCAGACAACTGTCAAGCTCATAGTACTACATCCAAAAGGGCCCTAGACTTTTTTATATATGTGTGCCTAAAAGTAAATATTTTCTGAAGTTTTAAGAATTAATACATTCTTCATAACATCTAGTACTTCAACAGTAAATTTCAATTTGAAAACATGAAGAGCAGAAGAAAACTGCTATGGGCCCCACAAGAATTAAAAAAGTACTTGTATACCTTTTAGCATGGTAGTATTAACATAGGTAATTTTTGGAAAAAAACCTACATTAACTGTCAACTCTATTATAAGGAATCATTTACAATTCCCCATATTACAGCACAACAAGCCATCCCAAAACCTACATACACAAAGTACTTTATGAACAGAAACCACTCTCAGAAAATGAGCATTTATTTTAATAGAATGTAATGATCCTTTCTGATAAGCTTGAGTACAAAATGTTGTTAACTCAACGAAGACAACCAGAGGAAACAACCTGAGTTGAAATGACAAGGGAAAAAAAAGCCACTCCCACTCATGATCTCTCCCAGTCGTCATAAAACTTAGTTTAGAATCATGAAGTAAAACAAAGAAAATATGAACCACTCCTCAACCTATGAATAATTCAGTCTTCACACACAAAACCCATAAATTTTTAAAGTAGATTCTTCAGATTTGGAAAGTCATCTAGACTCTCCAAAATGACAGCATAACTTAAACTTTTTCTTTCAAAGTTTTTTTTCCCCCTCAAAATTCTGGAAGATACACAGCATGAACTGCCTCACAACATTTGAACAGGAAGTTCCCAACTAAAAACAACCCAATGAATTAATTAAGCTTGTGGATCACTCCCAAGAAAGCCTGAAATCTCGTGAAATTAGAAATGCCACAACATCTGTCAATCATCTAGAACAGTTAAGATGAAAACCAAACAGCCCTTATGACCTCCTCCTAGATATACAGTGCATTCTGTTATGGTATGTTTCAAAATTATTTTAGAATATTAACATGTCCTTTGACAGAGAGAACGCATTATATAAAATTAGATGTTAGAAGATCAATAGTTCACAAGAATATATTATGAATTTGTCCTGGTTTAGAGCAAATTTGGGAAGAAACTTTCAAACGGGTCCTCTAAACAATTCTACATTTTATACTTTGCTCATTTTTTTTTAAGAACTTACCTTGTAGACTGTGAACCATTTCTAAAAGAACTGGGGTAAGAGTCTGATTATATTCATGAAAAATATCAATAAAAAGAACTTCTGTGCATGGCTGAAAATTTAAAAGATCTGGTTAGAATCTATTAAAATAAACGCAATTAAAATACATTTTATGCTAAAATTTTAAGTGCTGAATACCTCGCACCGAAGGTCACAATTTAAAACACAATATAGCAAAATTAGTATTGTGAGAAATACTACTTTTTCTACGATAGACTGAGCTTAACTCTAGCAAGAGTTTGATGGCTGCAACTGTATCAACCAGTTCTTCAGCAGAAAAATAATGAAATCTGTGGAGTGAAACAGCTGGTGCTGAGCTGCCAGGAACCACACTGTAGGTATGTCACAGGCTATTTTTGTGTTGGCTTACTGGCTTTAGGTCAGGGACTAGGACTGAACACCCTTTTACAACTGGAACACACTATATGCACTACGCTGAGCTTTTTAGTTTTAAAATATAAGTAATTCAGCAAATAAACTTTGAGATGTCTCTGCAAAGCAAACCCCATCAGTTACAGTTGGGTGATAAACTACAACAGCATTTTTCTGACCGGAACTAAATTAACTAATATAACAACTAGTTAAGGAATATAATTAACTAATAAAGATGCATCAGGAACTTCCTTCACTCGTCATGTCTACTAACCAAGTCATAAATGGTTACATCAGTTACCAGTTTAAAAAATACAGAACTTCTGCTGGTTTTAACCAGATGCTACATAATTTAAATACTGAAGCAAATCCTTTTCCCTCCCTCCTAAAATATTAAGTGGACAGATTCCCATGTATTTCAGCAAGTTTGAACACTGAAAAAATAACAAAGTCAAACTTTACTGAACTGAAGAAACAAAGATTTTATTTCAAATATTATCTGTTTTGGTTACAAAACTATCAAGAATGTTTAATGGGCTTCTTTCAAATTGAACACTTACTCTGAGACTGTATTTCCAAGAATCTCCTCCAGTCTCTTCTACAGCTATTATTTCCCAAAGAAAAGAAGAAAGAATTATTTCAACTATGGCTCAAACAAAGTTTAGTGTTAGCATAAGACTACAGAGAAATCTTTCATTACAAAAAGAATGTCTGGAGGGAATATTTATCCATGTAAGAAGACTGCAGGAAATAAAACGTCCAATATTGCAGTAGGCAATTTGTGGAGAAAATGTGGATACGAAGCACTTACACAAACATCTAATTACTCTACAACCAACTCTATAGCATGTTTCTTACTGAAGCTTTCTGGATCCTCTTCCCACATGGTCAATTCTTCCTTTGTCAGCAGGAAATAGTGAGTGACTAATCTCCTACATATTTCCATTAGTGTTGGGTATGTGAAAAAAGCTGTCTTTATCTTATGTGCTTCAAGAGTTTCAGGACTGCTGTCTGAAATAAAACATGATAATTTCAGATTACAATTAAGTGGCTTAATGATCAAAGACTAGTCCAATAAAATCAGAAAAAAGTCCATAAACAAAAAATTCTAATCCTCTGAGAAAAACAGAAAAAATGTCTTTTCATAGCAGACTTAACTGGCTTCCAGCTGGCAAGACAGGTTTGTAAGCAAGTAATCCATTCTGACACATATCAGCACATATATAAAGCTTTTTTCCCAATTCGCAGAGAATGCTAATTGTTATGTAGTCACTGTCACATATAAAACCAATGTGAAAGGTTGAGGTATTTGTTTAATTCATACATACAACAGTATATGAAGTTTCAAAATGAAACATAGTCCTACAAAGCAAAACAAATGAACTTCCTTATTGAACTGCATCTCCAATCCACCGTGTTTCTGTATTTCATTATACTGGCATTAGTTAATTACAGAAAATACAGCATTCTATTAAACATATCTAATAGGAAAGATGCAACAAACTAGCTGATGAAAATAAATCAAACTCTATACCTCAGCACTTTTTAAAATTAGCTCAGTGGAAACTAAAACAATCAAAAAATGAAAGATATTTGTGCTCCCTTTGCATTTAAAATTCCTTTGGAATGTCATTATCCATATACA